GTTTTAAATCTCAAAGTACAACCTTTTAAGTATGCTGTTATAAAGTTTCTAAATTTTAAAAATAAAGTTTGAATGTACAAAGTTTTAAAACTTAAAGTACAGAAGTTTTAAATGTGCTAGTATAAAGTTCCTAAATTTTAAATATACAGTTTGAAATTACAAAGTTTTAAAGCTTGAAATGCAAAGTTTTAAATATGCTGGTATAAAGTTCCTGAATTTAAAATGTAAACTTTGAAATACAAAGTTTTAAATATGCTGGTATAAAGTTCCTAAATTTAAAATATAAAGTTTGAAATTACAAAGTTTTGAAGCTTGAAATACAAAGTCTTAAATGTGCTAATATAAAGTTTCTAAATTTAAAATGTAAAGTTTAAAATTACAATGTTTAAATGTTGAAATACAAAGTTTTAATTGTGCTAGTATAAAGTTCCTGAATTTTAAAAAGAAAGTTTGAAATTACAAATTTTTAAATGTGCTAATATAAAGTTGCTGAATTTCTTTATTTTCATTCTCATACCTTAATTTTTTTACTGGTTGCAGGACAATTTGAAGTATGAAGACGATACACTAGTTGATCAAGAAGAAAAGTGATAGGAAAACTTCAACAAACTTATGCTGCTGAATTTGCAAGTAAAGATTTTGCATATGTTCATGAGAAGAGCTTGTTCGCAATTGGTGCTCTTCCTTAAACTAAAAATGATCGTCTTTTAGGTTGATGAGTCGCTTTTTTAGATTTTAGCCTGATATGGTGTGTAAATAGATGTTAGTCTTTTGAAATCTGCATTTTTTATGTGCTGTGATCATTCACTGGAGTATCTTTCCTTGATCAAACTATACAAATGTAGTAAGGTCTCAATTCCAGGTGCAATAGGTTTTTGTGCAATGATAACTCTGAATGTGTGTTTCATGGATCTTTTTGTTTATTTATTTTGTATCGGTTCAATCAAGTAACCTCGTAGAAACTTTTTTATGTTGAAAGTTCTTTAATAACAAAAGTTTTTGGATCCGAAGTGCAAAAATTTTGGCGCTGGGATACAAAGATTTTAGTTCCCAGTTCAAAGTTTGTTCATTCGATGGAAAAGCACTTTATTCTAACAAATGATAACGATATTAAACATTTTCTCTACTATTTTTTTTAAAATTTTATTTTCTGTTATTTTATGTTCTAGCTTATTACTTCTACTTATATATATGTAAGTGAAACCATCTCCCCGCCCGTTCACTACCCACACACTCGCTATCCCGAAAGAGAAAAATAAAAAAGCTGGAATAGAAAAAGGTACCTTCAAAAAAGCCAGATATGAGAACCGGAGATATCCCAGTACAGAATGGGCTAAATGTCACGGGAGAAATGATAATGAGACCCGAGAAGCTAAATGGACTTGGGCTGAAGCTAGACAGGAACCAGACTCTAGAAACCGTAGGCCATCCACTTAGGCCGAGCGTCGCTACTCGTCCCGGCGGGCGTGCGTCGCTACTCCTCCGAGCGCAAGTAGCGCCCGCGCGTAGAGGAAGATCTCCGTCCTTATTAGTGCTTCGAACGCACGGTACACCAAAACGATTTTTAGAGGTACTTTTTTTTTGGCAAAGACGGTTCTATAAAAAAACATGTCTACAAATGTTTTCTAGAGACAGGAGATGGTTGGCGTTTCAAGCCGTCTCTAGAAATGCTCTATGTTTCTAGGGGTGGTTGGAAAGCACGACCGCCTCTACAAATAGAGGCATTTCTAATGGTGGTTAGGAACTCCATACGTGTTTAGAAATCGATTTTCAGACGGTTGGTAATATAAAAGTGCACCACATGTTCTTAACAATTTTATTGCAGTGTGAAGCATATGGTTGAATCATCATGTCAATTTTTATAGGTAGTTTTCGCCGTCAGATAGAAGTCCTAGTCTAGTACAAATTTCGGGTCCCCATTAAGAACTGGCGTAATGCTGATTGAGGGGGAGGCACTAGTACTTATATTTGCAAAGAAAAAACATTTTTTATTAACTGTGTTAATTTTAAAACGTTGAACATATCTTTGAAAATTTTCAATTAGTAGATAATAAATAAAATAAATAAATATACGATTGTTGTCGAAAGAATTGAACGGGGGTCAATCTGGGCCCTCGACGGCAAGGGGCCCAACCCCAGATACGTGTACGCATAGTATTCTTTCCATGGCCCAAAAGGTAGGACCCCAGATACGTAAAACGTGCTGCCGTTTTGGTGACTCTGCGTTCCCTTCCGCCGCGACTACCTTCTTCCCCCGCTGCGACCAGCGACTCTGTGAGACTGCACGTGGTGCTACCATCGCCAATCGGCTGTGCGGTCAGGTGCTCGCGGCAACAACGAGAATCAGCGAGCGGCCGCCGGCCGGCGGCGCCCACGGCCCACTCTCCGTTCCTGGTCTGCGTAGAGGTAAGAAATTGCCACTAAGCCCCTAAGAAATTGTTTGTGTTTGTGTATGCGGTATGTCAACTATATATTTTTAATCAATATTTAGTTTGCTTTTGTCCCCGATCTTTATTTATTCTTTAGATTTGGGATTTAGGAGTCTCTTATGGTGCAGCACGCACGTTTAGTATGACATTGAATTTTCTGAAATTCTAGAATTGACTTGAGTATTTCATAATTTTTTATAAATTACTTACTTATTTAAAAATTTAAAGTGAACTCATGTTGCCCAGAAAGCACGCATCCGAAAGTGAGAAAAAGAAGAAAAAAAAGAGAAGAACAGAGGCCTTGATACAATCACAAATAAGAGAAATATTTTTTATTAGAAACATCATTGTACTAATAATAAATAGAAGTAGGAGTAATCTCATAAAGATTAAACATTATAGCACAAAGGAAAACAGAAAGAAACAATGCAATAAAAAAACGGGCTGATTCTTGCCCATGAGCTGAGCTATACCAATATGGGCTGGCGGCCCATCTCCTGCTGGAGTTGCCCAACCGTCAGCCGACCTGGAGTGAGTACTCTGCTACTCACTAATCCCGTTCCCGTCTCGTGTTTACTGCCTCTCTGTGAGTCCGTGTTTACCACTGTCGTGGGCGTGGCTTCTTTCCTGGCGGCGCCGCCGTCTTCGCCGGCAACGATCGTCCACCTGATACGTCCTTCCCTTCCTGCTGCGTGAAACCGAGCACCCCCAAACCCAAACCCTAAGGTAAATTATCTGTACCCGGATCTAATCTAACCCAATTACATGCATTATGCACACTAATAACTTCGATTTTTTTTTCGCAAAAATTAAAACTGTACACCCATGCCCTATACCGGATCCGCGATCCGCCCCTGCTATGATACACCACAAATTATGGATGATGCAGTGTTTGTTATCCTTACTAGACTAGGCCAGTAGACATGTATGTGCATAATAAAAGAGAATAATAGCGTGGTTTTGTATTTCCTCTCGAGTATCGTCAGCATTAGCTTTTGGCTCCCCGCGTATCCAATTCCTGCCCCGCCCCCTGCTCCCGTCGGTAGTTGCAATTTTCCACCACTGCCTGCCTAATGCATTATAATCATTAGTGATCGCTGATTAAGCCAAATACTCTGCATTTGATCGTTTGTTTTGCAAACTGTGACCATATGGCGTAATTCAAGCCTGCTGGGGTCATATATTGTTGACGTTCATCATTCCTGTTGGTGTATGGGGATTGTAAATACATATTCCAGCCCCTAATTATGTTCTGACGTGCTGGGATTATATAAGAATATTACATCATGTGGCTTTCTTTTCAGGTTCAGGCATTTAACTCTATATATCTATTCTATAAGATCGTCTCCCACATGCACCATTGCAGCAACACTAGTTGACCATACTTTGATACTTATTGTCAGTCGTGTGGTAAGCTTCCTGCTTCTTTAATCTACCCCCTGTTTCTGGGAAGAAAGCAGTTTTTTTTTTTCCCCTCTGTAAGGAAAGGAGTTTCATATTGCACTCATGCTGTCCCTACTTTGTCATTTAAATTATCAAATTTTGGACTTGTTTCATTTTGTTGCTAATATTTAGTTTACTTAAATATGCCACTGATCAATCTAATGGACTTGTATCAGTTAAGGGTCTGTATCCAATCAGTGTTCTAACGTCTCAAAGAACAAACTGAGCATAATCAAAGGCATTTCTTTTAAACGAATTTATCAAAGGTTTTGGACTGTAGACCGTTTTCCGTGACTTAAGAACTTTCTCATGTATACCCTTTTTCCACACCAAAGGTAGGCCTGCCATTTTTAAAAAATAATGAAAGTTTGTATTAGGCAGCGGCCTTAGCAAGAAACTGTTGAAGACCAGTATTGATCTTAAAACCTTAGTATTGCTGATTCTTTTTCTAATTTCCCCAATAGAAGTGTGAGCAAGTACCTGCAGTCCAATTCTATTTGTTGCTCATACAGTTGTCCAGCCGTGCAGACTCCAAGTTCTAATCATAGTCTGGTGCCTATGTGTTAGGTATCAACTCAACCTATTCCATTGGTAGCAAACTGGATTAGCACAAAAATACATAATGAGATGTGAGTTGTTCTGTGAAGCAAGAATATAGGCCACACAAATGTTTGAATTTATACATTACAATTTTAGTCTTGCTTTTAACGTGAATATCACTGGGTTTTTCTTGCTTATTTACACAGTCTCTTGCCTAGATAGGCTTGCATCTGTAAGTAAGTGTAACTCTAGGTTGTTGCTCCATAGCCATGATTTTGGTAACAGCATTCTCCTTTCACCTTTCAAATGGCATTTTAGTTTAGGTAGATATTTTCTCTTTCTACTCATTAACTAGGTCGCTTATTTTGTTTTCTTAGAGCTCACTTATGTATGCTTGTGCACTTCAAAGTTTAAAACATTATCTGTTGTTATAACAGCAACTAATACAATTTGAGGATATCTTATCTCTTGAAATACACGCCAGCCCCTTTACCTTTTTTGTATTATGATTGCAGAAGAAACAATTAAGTTCTACCATTTTATTTTAATTATTATTATTGTTTTCGATTCAGAAACTATCACAGTATCATGGAGGAACCACTTTTGGATCATGGATCTTCACCCTTATCTGAGGCAACAGGCAGTAGATCACTTTTCTCAAATGCTGGATTGTTGAGTAACATCACCTTTTCTTGGATGGGGCCTTTACTTGAACTTGGGAAGAGGAAAACACTAGACCTTAATGATGTGCCATTCTTGGATAACATTGACAGTGTCCATGGAATCACCCCCAAGTTTAAATCAAAGATTGCCTTGATTTCTGCTACAGGGCAGTATACTGATGTTACAACAGTTAAGCTGGTCAAAGCTCTTATGCTTACATCATGGAAACTAATCACTGTCACTGCAGTTTATGCCCTACTTTGTACTGTTACTGCATATGTTGGTCCCTATCTGATTGAGTACTTTGTTGACTACCTAAATGAAAACCCACGATCTACTAAAAGAGGATACCTTTTAGTGTTGGCATTTGTTGTTGCACAGCTGATGGAAGGTCTCTCATCAAGACATTTGCTCTTCAGATCACAACAATTAGGATTGCGTATGCGTTCCGCTCTTGTTGCTGTTATTTACCAAAAGGGTCTTGCCCTCTCTAGTCAGTCAAAGCAAGGTAGATCAAGTGGAGAGTTGATCAATGTTGTGAACCTTGATGCTGAGCAAGTAGGAAATTTCAATTGGTCTATGCACGAACTTTGGTTGCTCCCTGTGCAAATTAGTCTCGCAATGATTATCTTATACTCTACTCTTGGCTTGGCAGCATTTGCGGCCCTTTCTGCCACTGTTTTGACAATGTTGGCTAACATACCTTTGGGGAGGATGGAGCAAAATTACCAAGAGAAAACTATGAGCGCCAAGGATGCTAGAATGAGCGCTATGTCTGAGATATTACAGAACATGCGCATTCTCAAGCTTCAAGGTTGGGAATTGATCTTCTTGTCCAAGATAAAAGAGTTGAGGAAGGCTGAGATGAACTGGATAAAGAAATATGTCTACACCTCATCAATGCTTATGTCTGTCTTTTTTGGTGCTCCTGCATTTGTTGCCATGATCACTTTTGGTACTTGCATAATTTTTGGCATCCCATTAGAAACTGGAAAAGTATTATCTGCTCTGGCAACATTTAGGCAGTTGCAAGGTCCTATCCACAGTCTGCCAGATGCGATCTCGTCAATCATTCAGACTAAAGTATCACTTGATAGGATATGCTCATTTCTCTGCCTTGAGGAGTTAGCAAGTGATGCGGTAACTAAGCTTCCAAGTGGTAGCACTGATATGTCCATTGAGGTGAGGAATGGTTACTTCTCCTGGGAAAAATCTTCTCAGGTGCCAACTCTCCGAGACCTCAACTTTTGTGTACAACAAGGAACTAAAGCCGCTATTTGTGGTACTGTTGGGTCTGGTAAATCAAGTTTATTGTCTTGCATACTTGGAGAGATACCAAAGTTATCTGGAGAGGTTCGAACTTGTGGTACAATAGCTTGTGTTAACCAATCACCATGGATACAAAGTGGGACAATTGAAGAAAACATACTTTTCGGTACACAGATGAATAGGGAAAGATACAGAAAGGTCCTTGAAGCATGCTCTTTAAAAAGGGATATGGATATATTGCCTTTGGGCGACCAAACAATTATAGGAGAGAGAGGAATCAACTTAAGTGGTGGACAAAAACAAAGGATACAAATTGCCCGTGCTTTGTATCAAGATGCTGATATCTTTCTATTTGATGATCCATTTAGTGCAGTTGATGCTCATACTGGACAACACTTGTTCAAGGTATGTTTTGGAATTAATTCATTATATTGAAACTAGTCTTAATTATAGCATTTGTATAAAAAGTCCTTGTATTTTTTTTTTGTTACAATGTTGCAAATATTCATTTTTACTTCTTTCCCTGATTAGTTTCCAATTCAGTATTTGTTTAATTGTTTTATTCTTTTAGCACTTAAGCTATTTTATTATTCTTGGCAGAGGAAATAAGTAAGAGTTGTTTCTTTTATTGTTTATAATTAATAAAATTGCCAATAAGAACTAGACTTTGTCTTGATACAGTACAAATGAATATAGGCGAGATGGTACTTCAAGAAAATATGCTAATTCCGGGGAAACATATTACCTCAATATCAGCTAGTTGCTGGCTTGCTGTTTTACCATCCTTTTCTCCCATCAGATATGGCCGCAGGGACTTGTTCTGCCTTACCGCTGTGGCGTCGATTCCGCCATTGTCTATCGCTGGTGCCAACATACCATGCTTCTGTGTCTTGCTGTTGCTTGCCATCACTGTGCCTTTTTTACTTTGATTAAAGAAACTTTGATCTAATGTGTCCTTGAGCATTATTCTAGGGTTCAAGAGATTATTTGTTGCTATTAAGTGAAAGTTGCTGACTATAACTTGTATATTGCTGTTGCAGGAGTGCCTGCAAGGATTCTTAGCTTCAAAAACTGTTGTGTATGTTACCCATCATGTCAATTTTTTAGATTCAGCTGATCTTATACTGGTAAGCTAGCAACAAATGTCTAGTCTTTTCTATTATTTTTTCTAGAATACACGAGAGAATTATGAATCATTTCATTAGGAAGAACACAATATTTACCACACACACACACACACAAAGAAAACAATAAACTCGCGCCAGGAACAAAAAAACAATAACATCTACCAAAATACCAAGCAGACTTAAGAGATAGTTACATCCAACTGCGCTAACCCTCTAGTTCCTGCTAAATACCACAGGCTTCCCTCTTCTAAAACCTGATTCGCTGCACGCTAGGGGAGGCTCCATTGAACACGCAACCATTGCAACAAACTTATCACCTTCCAATTTCTCTCCTCATCTTTCAGGTTATGAGAGATGGAAAAATAACAGAGTCAGGGAATCGCGCTGAAATCCTTGAATCTGGAGAAGAACTTAAGAAACTATTTAAATCCCATGACGATGCCTTATCAATGCGTCCTAGTGGTAATTTTGGAAGTTCATATCATCCTGGTGGCAATGGAAACACCCTATTCATAGCAGAGGATAAGAAGGATGGTAACAATGACGAGGGGATTGTTCAAAATGGTCAACTGGTACAAGAAGAAGAGAGGGAGAAAGGCCGGGTTGGATTTATTGTCTACTGGGAGTATGTTACGATGGCATATAGTGGAGCACTTGTGCCACTTATTTTGCTAGCTCATATCATTTTCCAAGTTCTTCAAATCGGAAGCAATTTCTGGATGGCCTGGGCAGCCCCAATATCTGAAGATGTGAATCCTCCAGTCAGTAGCTTGCTGATGGTGAATGTGTATTTTGCATTAGCAATTGTTAGCTCATTGTGCATCTTCATGCGATCATATCTTCTTGTCAAGGCTGGATGTAAAACTGCTACTATTATATTTGAAAAAATGCACAACTGTGTATTCCGAGCTCCAATGTATTTCTTTGACTCCACTCCTAGTGGGCGTGTCTTGAACAGAGTAAGCAATTACATACATAATGTTTGTTTAACCGCATAAGGAATTAGGGTGTACTTGCAATGCTATTTGCTTTTTTATTGTGTCAATGCTGAAAGTTGAAACAAACTGTAGGCTTCCACAGATCAAAGCACAGTGGATACCAGAATTTTTGAACTGATGGGTTATCTTCTATTTCCTGCCATTGAAATTCCAGGAACAATTATTCTAATGTCACAGGTTGCATGGCCAGTCTTCATAATTTTTATTCCCACTATTATTGCATCACTGTGGTATCAGGTAAATTATATATTTTAATATAATTATATCAGTTTTATATTTTTCAAATTAATGGTGCAATTTCTCATTGATATTAATTAATTTGTAGCTGAGAATTACAATTATGTGCATATTATTTTGTTCCTAATCATGATACGCTCTTCCAACTTTTAGCAATACTACATAGATGCTGCTAGAGAGTTGCAAAGGCTGACTGGAGTTCGCAGAGCCCCAGTGATGCAACATTTTACCGAATCAATAGCTGGCTCAAATATCATTAGATGCTTTCAAAAGGAAAGGCAATTTATCAGTTCTATTGGACATTTGATGGATAACTTATCTCGACCAAGTTTATATAATGCAGCTGCAATGGAATGGCTGTGCTTTCGCTTGGATATTCTTTCATCCTTTGTTTTTTCCTTCACATTGATACTTCTGGTCTTCTCTCCAGCTGCTTTAATCAACCCAAGTAAGCATATCCTTTTTCTAGCAAGAATGCAAGATCAATATTGTTCTTAGTGTCTACTAACATGCTTGATAATATTTTGTACAGAGACTGCTGGTCTTGCGGTCACCTATGGACTAAGTCTCAATATGCTACAAGGGTGGGCTATTGCTATCCTCTGCAGTTTGGAAAATAAAATGATATCTGTGGAAAGAATGATGCAGTATATGAATATTCCTTCTGAACCACCGCTTACAATATCAGAAACTCGACCAAATGATCAGTGGCCAACAAAGGGTGAAATTGAGCTGCGCAACCTACATGTTTGTCTCTTCAACTTTATGTATTATACATATTCAGTTTTATATAATTGTTGTGCTCGCATCAGTTTTAGGGATAGTAAATGCTAACTGTTGTAAATCATCAATTTCATTACGTCATTATTCCAGTATTAACATGTCCTTTTGTTTTCAATGTTGTTCCTGCTGTTATCAGAATTGCAGCCTTTAGTTCTTAATATATTCCTAGAATATTCTAGAAAACATAAACTTGGCTTAAGGTGGAAAACAAATATCACCTGAAACGGACTGCTCTAGCTTAACTGCTTGTTATGTGATGCAGGTTCGGTATGCACCACTGCTGCCTTTTGTTTTGAAAGGTCTGACGTGCACCTTACAAGGTGGAAAGAAGACAGGTATTGTTGGTAGAACAGGTGGTGGCAAATCAACCTTGATTCAAACACTATTCCGCATTGTGGACCCATGTATTGGCCAAGTGTTGATAGATGGCACTGACATCAGCACCATTGGACTGCATGACCTTCGGACTAGATTGAGCATCATTCCACAAGATCCTGTTATGTTTGAGGGGACCCTGCGAACCAATATTGACCCCCTTGGGGAGTATAGTGATGGGCAAATCTGGGAGGTACATACCAATTTGTCTTAACATTTCCTTTTCGCGCCTAGTATATATATATATTTTAAAAAAAAACTATAGTACTCTTTGGAACCATTTGGTGGCTAAAACACTGGTTGTGTTCTCTAGGCATTGGATTCCTGTCATCTTGGGGATGAAGTTAGAAAGAATGCACTTAAGCTTGACTCGACAGGTTAGATATCTGCCAGAAGGTCCCTAGACATTGCTCTATGATTTCAAAACCATAACTCCTTCGATTTTGGAATGAATGCAGTGACAGAAAACGGCAAAAACTGGAGCGCAGGTCAGCGCCAACTTGTGTGTTTGGGAAGGGTGATTCTGAAAAGGAGAAAGATCTTGGTTTTGGACGAGGCAACGTCCTCTGTAGATCCAACCACTGACAGCTTGATTCAAGAAACCTTGAAGCAGCAATTTCTCGAATGCACAATCATTGCAATAGCGCATCGAATCACATCAGTTTTTGACAGCGACAGAGTCTTGGTTCTGGATAACGGTAAGTAACAAGGCCCTGGCTTACGAGCCAAATCTATGTTTACATTTGTTTCTCCTCCCACTTTAACACTGTCCATGTTGTAAAACAGGCGAAATTGCAGAGCATGACACGCCAGAAAAACTGCTAGATGACAGTTCATCCCGATTTGCCAAACTCGTTTATGAGTATAGGAAAGCAAATGAGACTACAGATGCTGTGTCATCGTAATTTACCGTGTACTGGTGGGGTTAGGGCACGAGTTCCTTGGAACAGAGTGGTATGAACAATTATGCAAGACAAAACTCCCTTGGAATTGTGATCTTGTACAGATTTAATAATAGCTTAATACTCCTACAAAGCAAGCTTTCAGAAAGCGTGAAATATCTAAATGTGCCGTGGCCCTTTGTCCCATCCGATACTCCTAGCATGCACATATTTACTCGTGTTGTGGTTATATTCTGCTGTCTTTATTTTAACAATGTACATGAATGAAACTTTTTTCTTTTTCGGTACTGCCCATGATTCAGAGCTCCACTGTGCTTCTATGCTGTCCCCGCCTGTATAGACAGTCTTTGTTTTGTTTTTGTACACGAAATTCGGCACCACGCACGGCCACGTCACCATCTGCCTATTGCTGTCTGATCTGCGGCGGCCATCCAGTGTTCTTACCGTGGCCTCAGCCAGCACAGCCTCTGCAACTGCAAGTCTCGGGGGGTGTTGCAGCAGTCCGGCCGTTCGGACGGAATCCACGCACCGATCTCGCCCACTCGCGTACGGAAGCGGTAAATTATTTTCTGCACTCCATCATGTGTCGCGTCTGGCTGGCCCACGGCCCACCTCGACCCGCATCGCTCTCAGCTGCGCATGGCACACCCCCACGTTCATAAAAATAATAATTTAATGATACTGTTGTTTTATTGGAAGTCTCTCCTCCACATGCATGCATGCTGCTGAAAAGAAAAGTACGTCGAGAATAGCTTATAGAGTACTCCGTAAGCATTTGCTAAGTTTTAAAAAAGTCATAACTGCCAAATTAAACATCCAAATTAAATTATGATTACAACATCGTGTTTCTTGCAATAAATCCTTCAAAACAAGATTCCACGTGCATACATTTAGATAAAATTTTATAACGAACATTTATATTGTGAAGATAGAACATATTTTTATTGAGTAGAAACAATGTTCTAAGTTAGTTCAGAAAAACAATGTTCTGCCTTCGTAAGAAAAATGTTCTTGATTTAAAAGAACAATATTCTAAGTTATAGGTTCATGGTACTATAAGATCCATGAAAAAATAATAACAAAAAACTATAAATACATAGAAACAGTAAATAAATAAATAAATACCATGACATAAATAAAAATAGTAAAATTTAGATCAAAGCAAAAAGGAAACAAAATAAAATACCATAACTATTTGGTACGTGATGTAACCCGGACAAAAGCATCACATGAAAAAAATAACAAAGCAAAAGCATAGGACAAATCACAAGGGAAAAGAAAAATCCACGTAATAGAGGTAAATTAAAAAAGATCATCACATGGATATTACTTAAACAATCTAAAATATAACATAGAATATCTCATGGGAACTTAAAGAAAATCATGGAACATGCATTTATAATATATGAACAACCTAAAATACGTAGAGCATCCCATGTATAATACGTGAACATCACAAAAATATATAGAACTCCACATGTATACTACATGAACATTGCAAAATACATCATAAAACATCACATATATATTACGTGAACATCACTGAATATATCATAAAACATCGTATATATACTACGTGAAATCACTGAATATATCATATAACATCCACCACATGTATATTACGTGAACATCACAAAAAAATATCACAGAACATCACATGTATACCACGTGAACATCACAAAAACATGATAGAACATCACATGTATAGTACATGAACATCACAAAAATACATCATAAACCATCACGTTATACCACGTGAACAACACAAAAAAATATCATAGAACACCATATGTATACTATGTAATACATCAAAGAACATCACATGATACATCATAGAACATCACATGTATACTACGTGAACACACAATATACATCATAAAACATCACATAATACATTATAGAACATCACATGTATACTACATGAATATCAGAGAATACATCATAAAAACATCACATAATACATTATAGAACATCACATGTATACTACATGAACATCAGAGAATACATCATAGAACATCATATGTACTACGTGAACATCACATAATATATTATAGAACATTAATATATCTCGTAAAATAGTGTAAAAAGGTAAAAAAATTAAAATTACCAAATTAATTAATTAGATTAGAGTAAAATAATAAAAAAATAAAAATACACATAAAATAAACAATAAATGTAAAACTATAGAAAAATAAAATGAATGAATAGTTTAAGTAAGAAAGAAAAAAAGAAAATTGAC